CCCGGGAACACAAAGACTTCGTCATGGGCTTCATCAGTCAGGAGAACCTCAACAGCGAGGCGGACGACCAGTTCATCAGCATGACCCCCGGCTGCCAATTGCCCCCCGAGGGCCAAGGAGAGAACGGGATCGCCGGAGACGGCAAAGGCCAGCAGTACAACACGCCGGAAAAGCTTGTTGTCGGACGCGGAGTGGACATTGTTATTGTCGGGCGTGGTATCCTTAAGGGTGATGACCCACCTACGGAAGCGGAACGGTACCGGAGGGAGGCGTGGAAAGCCTACCAGTCGAGGGTGGGCTGAAATTAAGGGATTGCTTTTTGGGAATGCTTGGTACATCTTGCTTGCTTTTACGAATTTATTCAATACGCACTTAGACTCTTGAGGCCTCTTTGCGAAGCGGGCAGGTTTATTTTTCTACTGTTTTCTCCGGGGGTTTTCTTCTCTTTTTCCCCTTCTTCCAGGTGGACATTTTGTACTGATAACTTGTCGATGATTGTATGCAAAGACTTGATCTGTTCGCGTTTTTCTCGTGCTGCTCTATCGTCCGGATCTGGAGTGTGTTTGATCCTCCTTACTGACTCCTGTGTTGTCCGCCTACATAGCTAATGGACTGCGTCCCTTCCCCCGACATCCCTCCTCGACGTGCCCAGTGATGCACGGCATACAAGCAACAAATTGGGCACGTTCGGGCTTACAGCACGCCAGTTATCCCGTCCATCCGACGCGTAGTGCCCGTGCGCTACAGTAGTCGAGACTCCCCTCAATCTTGAAGGGGTAAAACTTTGAAGAAGGCCTTACGCGGTGTTGTTGATTGGCTTGAAGACGGTGGCCCCGAGAGAAGCCGAGGGCTTGGGCGGGACATGCGTAGAGTTTGCATTTTTAGGGTTCCTCCTGATTCCCTTTTTTCCTTTAGTTTTAATTTCCTACATGAGGTCAGTGAGGGACCGGAGAGGAGAAAGCTGGTGAGGGGATGGAATGAAGCTGGAATCTCGGACGAGTGGCTACGAAAATTGATAGGATATACGGCGCTGTAGTTTTATCAAATTGTAGATTTTAAATCAACTTCGGAACGAATCACTGTCATCCATTTAGTGTAAACTACGCTACACCACACTACTTGCCACCAAGTAGCACGAGGTTATCGCCGAATATTCAGATCAAGACCTCGTGCATTGCTTCCCGGCTTAGGCGGAACTCGGCAGTACGTGGTAAGCCACAGCATGCAGACGCCTTCTTTCTGCCTTTTTTTTTTCTTTCTTTTTTGGGATAACTCTCTTTTCGTTTTCGCAAGCTCGGGCCCTCGATAGACTCCGATCTCCGATGAGAGATAAAATCGTGTACTTCGTACTTCGTAAAAAGTACATGCGGATTGGGTCAGGCAGTAAGATCCAGCGAAGTATTATTTATCACCATTATTAAACTACTTTCGTATATTAAATCCGAAAACAGAACATTCCGGGAACCAGGGCCCAGAGTGGAGCCGAGTGTTTTATCGCCAGGCCAGGCCAGGCTATACTTTGACCAAAAAGCAACACTGAAGCCTTGCCAGGACTCCACATTTCTTCAGTAGTGGTGAGAGCTGAGAGGTTTTGTCGATCAGATTCATCATTCGATACTACAAAGTAGAGTATGTACGTCGTAGGAGGCTTCGCAAGACTCTGAATTGGGCTTAGTAGGTACGGAGCTTGGTATAGTAATTTGTCTAGAGCTCAATGTCCAAAAACTCATGTAAAAAGAGCGTGCTATTCTATGGGCCAAGGTCAAGCGACACCCCAAAATGCGTATTCTATCATGAACCACAACTGAAGATTTGGTCTCCGAAAGAAGATCGCAAAACGTCTAGTCCTTTTTAGCTTTTTCGAGGACGCGAAATGAGCGAACCCAGAAACAAATGAAAAGCACTAGTGGCCAACGGCTTAAACTTCGTCGTTGCCATATTTCCATGACAATTTCGACGAGATCCTAGCTTCGAGATTTTCTAAACGCGCTCGAGAGGCGAGGCTGGAAGAGGCGAAAGAGATCCATAGAGATCGCCAGTAAGTGAATCGAGTCACCGGTTCTGCCTGGACATTAATATCTGTCCTTTTCGCTCTCTTTGCCTTTCTTTCTTCCACCTAATAAGAGTTATTTTTACTTCTGGTTTGCTCACCGAGGCTCGGTAATCTGCAAATGCATACCCAGCGTTCTTTATCTCGAGGCCGGAAACCACGGGTCTGACGTTGATTTATCCACAAATATTGAAGTTTCCTTTTGATGTTATCGGCACACTAAGCTCAAATCTTCTAAGCGTCAAGTATGCGAAACACTTTCGCTTCTATGGTTTGTGGGTTTATCTGACTTCCAAAACCTAGGAAGTACTTCACATGGAAAACATTGGGACGAAGGCGAATAGACTGTCTGAAGGACCAGTCTTCACGCCCAGCCCCCGTTAATTGGGCGTAAGTAACTCTTGAGACCATCGGCGTTATCGAGGCGGTGCTCCGCTCGACTCTCAGCAAATCGCGAACAATTTCGGCTTTTGCCCCTCACGCCCTCCTCGGCCACGCCTTGGAAGACATTTTTAAGATTGGCCTTCGTTCCCTTTACCGCCTCTAGAAATTCAACGAGTCGCAGGGCTTAATAATAATAATGGACAGTTAGATACGACTCTACGAGGTATTATCAACCGATGTAAAGGGGAAACAAAAGGTGCACGTGGGGAGATGCCTCAGCTGTTCCTCTCAGCCACCTGCGTTTCGTGGGGGGACCCTGAGAACGGGGATAGCGATGTGATATGAGAAGGTGGGAAAGATGTCGTATTTCGAGATTTTTATCTTCAAATGGTAACATTGATCCCCGATGCTAGCGTCAGCCATTTTCTCGGAGTGGACCACAATATACTTTGATACCTTCAAAATAACCATGGTGATTGTGAGATTTGATGCTGTCATTCCCGACGGAGTTAGGGGATTGAGTTGGGTCCATTGCTTGCATCGGTGTACTTGGTACTTTGTAGTGGGTCGGGGAAGGAGTCGGCCCCACCAGGGGTCCGAGGGAAGCGAACAGGGCGAGCAGAATGAACCACAGGTGACAGGCCACACTACACTATTTCGTACTTTGTACGTTACACTACGACAGAATCAAGCCTTGGAACCTGGAAGGATGGTTGAGCGACTCATGAGGAAGGTCGCTAAATGTGGAAGAGGAAAGGACATTAGTCATGCGACTCGCATTTGCACTTTCTTGGGTCGATTTTGATGTATGTGTGTGTCTGGTCGCTACTTCCCCGCGCCTATCTCTTGGGTCCAAAGTACAAGGTAGACAAATGTCCGAAGTCATATCAACCGATCACGTTGTGGTGCGAATACTCAAGTACTTTGATCGCTCATTTCAATGGAGGCAGGTGCAGAGAAGCTATTGAGATTTGTCTAGTACCCTGCCAATATCTCCGAGGAGAGATCATTGATGCAGATTGTGGCAGATGTCTGATGCATCGAATGGGAGTCGCCCATCCATTAGCAGTTGATCGTACTCGTACTTACGCTTCCATGGTTTAAACTCATCAGGGTACTTCGGACTTCGGGAGACAAGTGACAACCTTGGACAGCCACAATGAATGAAACAGGGATGAGCGACAAACCCCAAGCAAACAACGATGGGGGCGAAGACAGTCGGATCGTCTTGATTTGGTCCAGGGCCCCAGCAGGCAGCGTCGACACAAACATTTGATCAGGTCGAAAAGCGGCGGTACAAAGGACGTGAGTACGTTGTGAGTACACCCCAGCAATCGGTCGTGGCGAGGCACTGATTCGAACAATCGATCCTAGCCCATGCCGTGTCGAGTGTGTGCTTGACCGTTGACAAACACAAACTCGACATAGAAGTACACAGTTACAGTATCTTGATCAAAAAAGTATTATCTCCAATTCGATTACCAATCCTGCTCTCCGGGATTGGACGAGCTAAGCCAAACGACCAATCTGCGCTGGTGATGTTCCCCAAATTAGCACGCAACGTCGGAAATAAGCTCGTCGCTGTGCGAAGCCCTGGACTCGCATGTACTCTCTCTAAATTCCGTCCATGCCGGGCTCTTTCAATCCCCGAATATCGTGTCGTTCCCCCGACCGAAAAAAGCCCCCTTCCCCAGAAATCCCAAACCCGCAAACATTTGTTTTCTAGCCTCGTCTGCCTGCATCAAGACGAGTTGGGTTACTGGTAAGTTTAATTTATCCCAATCCGTCTCTTTCTGTTTCCCCCTCGCTGCTTTACGTCTGTCCATGTTCTTTTCATTACTTTGTGTATCTCCCCCGTTTCCCACTTCCCGCTTCCCGTTTCCTGCCACCCCGTCACTGTCTTGTAGCGCGCCGTAGTTGCAGCCTGCAACTTCACCGAACCGATGATGTTCCACCAGGAGATTTCTCGGATTCTCACTGCGCTCTGCCGTTGTTCATGTCAGGACCCATGAGCCTTACTTCCCTTCTTGGTCTGCCCTTTCTCTTATTCTCTACTCTGTATGTGACACGCGGTCCAGGCCTTGCTTGGAACCTCCTGCGTCATTGGTCCTGTCTGTCGCGTTTTCCTGTAATACGTCTCTGTCTGTCTCTGGTGGGAAGCGGCCCAAGTCTCGTATGCTCCCCTCAAAATGTATTGTAACCATCACCAGTCCTTTCCCATCCGTCAGTCTATTAGTCTCTACCCCCGCAGACAGTCCACAGGTATCCTGTTGCTTGGCCTTCTGACCCTCCCGTTGCCGCATTACAAATTAGCGAATCGCGCTCTGCCCGGTTCCCGCGGCCACTCTCGTCCACACTTGTCTTTCTACACACGGAATCTCAACACTTAATGCCATCTACTGACCCTATAGAACTAGGGTTTCCTCGTCTCTCTTCTAGCGGCGCTCGGCGCTTGTGCCAGCTTTTGTTCCCAGTGTGCTTCCATATCAGCGATGGGGAGCTAAACTCTCAGGCCTTAATAAGGCGGGGTTCAAACAATCGCAGCTTCTCTTTTCCTTTCTAAGAAATGGTGGCTGAGTCGCCTCTCGGCGGCATGACGGGAGGTGTTGGTTCGATAACCCTGACCGAAACCGCCCCTTCTCGTCCGCCGCCGAAGAAGAGGAGACGCGCCGTTATATCATGTGTCGAGTGTCACCGGCGCAAGCAAAAAGTAGGTCAAACAACAATGCTGATATACCCGTCATCGAGTCCCATTGCCCTGAATTCTTTGATTCATTAAGCCGAAAGAGATGGATAAACGTCGAATCTGTCAAGCCTCCCCTCCGAATGACGGGCCCCACCGTGTATGTTGGTGCTGAACCATCATTGCTAACCTTCATGGCGTCTAAAGTGCGACCGGGAGCTCCCTTGCGCCAACTGCAAGTTCCGTAACAAAGAATCGGTCTGCCGTTATGAGTCGTCGGTGCCAAGTCTAAGGTTTGTCTCTAGAAAGAGCGAAATGTATACTTTTCTTGTTCATCCCAGATCTCTTCGTGACTAACCAACTACCGTTATCGCCGCTCATCAGGACGTCTACTCGGTCCATATCACCCGTGACATCTACTTCTACTTCCGATGTAGGCCCTGCGCGCCCACCGGCATCCGCCCGGCGCATGTCAAAGGCGGCGGCGATGGCGGAGTCTAGGGACGATGGCGATGCCAAAACCCAAGCATCCAACTCACCGAGTACCCAGGGCAGCTGCGAGGAGTTGAGGGATCGGTACAAGAGTCTTATTCGACACCTCCCCGCCAAATGCTATATCGACCAGCTTGTGGGCATTTATTTTGCAGAGGTCAACTGGCACACCCATTTCATTGACCCGCACGAGTTTATGAAATTGGCCGAACGATGGAGCCAGATTCCCTTCGCAGTCTTCCAGAAAACGGGCCCCATGTCTCTTCCACCGAAATTGAGGGTCTTTCCCGCTCTGCTGTTCCAGGTTTTAGCAACCGTTCTTCTGGTCGTACCCGACGATCCAAGGGGGCCCTTTGAGTCACTCAAATATGCCGTGACGATGTCGCTTCGGGATCTCGCTATAGATTATAGCGAGACAGGCCACGCCCTCTTGTCCTTGGTCGGCAGGCCTGAAGTTACAATCATAAATGTACAAGCGGGGATGGCCCGTTGCGTTCTTTTCGCCTATCTGGCCGATATTCTTGGATCTGTTAGTTTTTACCTTGGGAATCCCTTCCCACTTCCCTAAAATCCGTTCGATCATTAGCTTTGCCAGAAGATCTTGCCCGCATTCTTTGGGCATGGTATGTATGGTTAACTAACCGACGCTGCTCTAGTGGAATTCCCTCAACGAGGCGCTGACTGACGCGCGGGAGCTCGGCATCCATGACGATTTATTTGATCCCAAGCCTCCGAGTTCGACACTCCGGGATATTCTGGAGACAGAGTGGTTGGTGCAAGAAAGAAGATCACTTTACATGACATTGACGATATGGTAATCATTCTTCGCGTCCTCCTTTTTGCCCTTGCCTTGCCTTCCCTTTTCCTTTCTTTCCTTTTACTGCTACAGCCATTTTGTCTCCGAACTAGAATAGATTATTCAAGAACTAACCTCTTTCCTTTAGGGATACTCACTTTTCTTTGATTCTGGGAAAGCCTCCGTTTATCGATCCTCAGCAGAAGCGACCTAGTCTTCCTGTGGATTGTGTTCCGCCATACGACAAGTCCACTTGCCCTGTGAGATTACGAAATGATGATACTGACCCACCAACACCGTTGACGCGCAGTCTCTGGCTTTTCAAACTTGCCGGCCCTCTGAGAGACTCCAATTTCTCTGAAAATGTAGGCATGGATTGCATGGACTTCGCGCGAGCTGAGCTCGTCGGAAGGCAGGTCGTTGAGACGGCCCAGAAAATCCCTGGCTATTTCCGACTTGAATCGACTGATTGGCGCTGGGATAACCATCCGGACTGCCCTTGGCTAACGTCATCGCGATTCTGCTTCGACCAATGGGTTCAGTTCCATATCATGGTATTGCACCGCTCGTACATTTTAAATCGGTCTCTGAGTCGAACAGAGGCTCTTAGGGCAGCCATCAAACTACTGAGTTCTCAGCAAATCCTTTATCAAGGGACGGTAACGAATTCGTGGAGAAAGTGAGTTTCTCGTATTCACCACTCGAACTTTACGTCTCAATGTGCGCTGTCTATAATTTCCCCTGTTCCTATACTGACAATTTTTTCCCCCTTCCCTTAGCTTCATGCTATTCTTTGGTACTTTCGACGCTCTTATCCTAATCACCATGATCTACACCCTGTTCCCAAGAGAGAACGTCCGTCTCTATGAGGATGCAAAACCGCAGTTCGACTGGACCATCAAGCGCTATCAGGCGATGCAAGATGTCAATCCTCTTGCCACGACGGTAAAGTCGGCGGTTGAGGCGAGCTTTAGGCGAATGAAGAGGACGGTTATGTCGACGATGAGAGCGGCCGATCCTCTGAGCATCGCCAGCATCTGTACGAGCCCGCCGATCCCTAGCTCCCCTATAATGTCGGATGAAGACACCCCTTCCTCAAGCCGTTGCTCTGTTCCCGAGAATCGTCTTTGCTTCTTTACTCGGTGGTTCGGGAATCGTGGTTCCGCCGGAGATGCTGGAGCCCCGGCGTCTCCACCCAAGGCGGGAATACCCGAGCAGAACCTTGATATTTCGGCGTCGTGTCCCGTGGGCTATTTGGTCTTTAACTCTGGGGGGTGTTGTGTGGCGGGCGATACTCCTCAGTCGACGATGGGGGATGATCGGATGGTCAGAAGCGAAGGGTGATCTCGACGACCTTTATATGAGACAGACACAGATGAATGCCGGAGCGGGAGCATGCCTACGTATACGTGGCCAGCCAAAGTGAGGCGCTTGCTCCCGGCAGAAGTGGGAATGGGTGGAAGGGAATATGGATCATCAGCGTCTTGTTTATAAGCATCTTGCGTGTATTTGATGCGCCTTTTTGTTTTCTTTTTATTTTGATTTGTTCCTTTTGGTTGGGAGGGTTTTAAAATTGGTCCAAGAAAACAACCGGGGGATACCGACTTGCCTATGTTTCGTTTTACGCAATTATGGATTCATTGATGAAATGAGAAGTCTTCCAGTTTTCCTTTGTTAGTTTTGGTTATCCTGCACAACCTCTATCTAGATTGGGTTTAGGAAGATCGCTACTGGCTTAGCGAGCTCTTCCGCAACAAGGCCCTTTCCGGAACCTTAGCGAGGCCAGTCATCTATTAAGGGGATGAGAGGAATTTGGGGAAGAACATGGTTATAAGCCATCTCTGCTCTGTTCACCCGGGCGCTCGAGTTATTCGATGGATCGCCCAAGCTTCGATATCTTGTAAGCTCATGAGCCGTGGGTTGTTTGTGGTGGCGACTTGGTGTATATGTATGGATTCAACTCATATATATATAACTCGATCAAGCTACATTTATTCTTCGTTTATTCCTCAAGCTGCCAATTCAACTAGCTACAAATACAATGTACTTCGTCGTAGTGGAGATGTTCCCCACATGCGCAAACTCCCACCGAAATCCCCAAGGTGAAGGTGGGGTAGTCACGTGAACCCCACCAAAAGTCAAGATCTTGGGTCTTGAATGAGGTACATCGCTACTTGCAAGCAAACGACATCCCGGTAACCCTCCTCGACAGCTCACTGTCCTCTATCGAAACCTCGCCCATTTCCCAACCCAGAAAACGAGGAGAGGGTATTCCAAAATAACCCAACCCAACAAACATGTCTCACCCTAGGGTAGAAGAAGCGTCCGATAGCGACCTCTCAGACCCCTCCGAAGGCAACATCTCCGACTTCGACGAATCCGACATCCTCCTCAGCACAACCGCTCCCCCCACCAAACCCCCCTTCGTCGCATCCTCATTCTCCCAGGCCTCCTCATCCTCCTCAGCAGCAGCACGCAACGCAGCCGCCGCCGCCTCCCTCCTCCAAAGACCCCCGCAATACTCCACCGCCACCGACGCGAAGCACTACGTCGATTTCCAATGCCTTTACCCGATCTACTTCTCCGCTCAGCACACGCGGCAAGAGGGCCGGCGCGTTTCGCGGTCGCTGGCGGTGGCGAACCCCATCGCTAGGGATATCGCGCATGCGTGTTCGCAGCTGGGATTTCAGGTGCTTTTCGAGCCGGGGAAGTGTCATCCGCGCGACTGGGCGAATCCGGGGCGGGTTAAAGTTAAGCTACGGGATCCACATAGGCCTGTGGGCGCGCCCGCCGTGAATAATAAGCACCATCTATACAGGCTCGTGGCGGGCTGGTTGCAGAAGCACCCTACCACGGACGACTCGCAGTCCTTGCGGTATCAGATCCCGGGCGTTCCTACGCCTAAGATGGGGGAGAAGTGGCCTAGGCCTGCGGTGCCGAAGGGTTGGAAGATGAATGAGTTGTTGCCGTTTATTAGTCCCGCTATGACGGGTGGTGGGGTTAGTGAGAATTTGTTTAAGGATATGATGAAGGAGATGGCGAGTGGGGGGGATCCTATGTCGGCTTTGATGGGTGCTGGTGCTGGTGCAGGGGCAGGGGCGGGGGGTGAGGAGACGGGGAAGAAGAAGAAGGATAAGAAGGGGAAGAGTAGGGCTTGAATGAGCTTTAGTTGCGGATGGGATCGGAATACTCTATGGGGGACGGACGGGGGACTGGCTTACCCGCCCCAACGCGTGGCGGCCGCGTTGGATGGACTTAGCTAACCATAGGAAGAGGTATTGCTAGCATCACGGCTCCAGCCGCGGGGAGTAGCTGCTATGAGAGCGCGTCGGCCCGATACAAATGCTACACGGAGCATCCTGACCAAGTCGGGCCGGGGGAAATGCCACAAAATAAGTCTTTTAATTCCAACGACAAACTAAATGGTATCTTGCGTCGTGCTGCGCCGTGCATCGTGCACACCAGTAAATCCTCTAACCCCCTGAACTCTTCTTCAACCTTCTTACCTACGCCTGAGACAGGAGATTCAAGACAAACTCCACCTCTTTAATCCGTTTCGACCCTTGCAGCCTGTAACCGCTCCCACTCCGCAGAGCCAACAATTTGCACGTCCTTGCCAGTACCAGGAATCACCTTCCCATCAGCACCAGGGAGACGAATCTGCAGCCTCGCAAGAGCCCTGTTCCCAGCCTTCGCGGCATGCTTCCCACCAAGAACGGTCCTAGACTTCTTCACAACTTCCTCCTGCCAGCTCTTCCAGGCAGCGTAGTCCTCGGCCTGCTTAGCAGCATGATACTGCGGCGTAGTCTTCGCCCTCCTCCAAGCAAGCTTATCCTCGGGCAGCGTCGTCAAATCGTACACCTTAGCCGACGACGCAATGCGCAGAAGCTCCCCGAGCACGTCACGCCCCTCAGCCGCCACGACAGCCCGTCTCCGCTGCTCAACGGAGGGCGGCTTCTTGAGCGGCTCGGCGAGCCACGCGTACTTATGCTGCTCCGTCGTCCTGGCCCGCTGGTTGTCCTCGCGCAGGTAGCGCACGGCGGCCTGCAGATTAGTGATTTCCCCTCTAAGGCCATCCATCTGCCGGGCCGTCGCCACGGCGCGTTCCTGGCCCACCTTGGTGTTGGCCTCGCCGACGCCCTCGACGAAGGCGCGGCTGTCGCCGGCCACCTTCTTCCACTTGTCGCGCTCGGCTTCGAGAACGCGGAGCTCGCGGTCCTGCTTCTCGATGTCCTCCATGAGACCCATGTTCTGCTTCTTGACGCCTTCGAGATCACCTTCGAGCTCGCCCATGCGGTTAACCTTGGCCTGGGCGTCCTTCATCCGAGACTCGAGGGTCTCGATCTTGAGGAGGGCGGTGCTGAGGGTGTCGTCGCGCTGGGCTACCGTCCTACGGGCCTCGTTGTACTCCTCCCTCAGGCGCCTCATGGCTTCCTCGGCGTCGACTGGTCGGGTCTTTTGCGCAGTGAGTTCGTTGGACTTGACGACCCAGGGGGCGGGGTGGACATCGAATTCCTGGACTTGATCGAGATCGGAGCAGAGAGCGGCGAGGTCGTTCAGCTGGTTCGTGGAAACACGGAGACCGGCAAGATACGTAGAGAAGAGATCGGACTCGCTGGACGACGTGACGGCGGTGGTAGTCCTCGAGATGGTGCTCTGCACTTCGGCAAAAGTATAAGGCTCGTTGCGACCTTCCTCAGTGAGAAGAGTGTGCAGATCGATACCAAGCTGGCGTGCCAGATTGGCAAGGTCTTGCGCAGCACTCTCGACCTGCTCAAAGGCGTCTCGAGATTCGGGCTGCAAGGATAGAGACCGAGTCTTGAGATCTTCCAACGCGCGGACTGCCTTGCCAGCAAGAAGCTTGGCACTTCGCGTCTGCCCGATGGCTAGCTCGGCACGCTTGACAAAGTGTTGGCTGAGCTCGTCCTGCCCGTTTTCGGAAGAGGACAAGATCCTCTGCACCATGGCCTTGAGGGTGGTGAACGAAATAGTTGCGGACTCGAGATAGCTCTGCATATTTAGTGTCTGCATATAGGTCTCGTCTGCGAAGGAGGCGAGGTCTTCGGCGAGATGAACTTCGCCAAGGTGAGAAAGGACGGCAATAGTTCGCTGAAGCTCGTCGGCGCACTTCTTCTCCTTGAGCTCATCTTTCCTGAGACCGTCAATCCATGAGTTAAGAGCCCGCTCAACGGGATCTAATTCATGGAGAGTAGATTCGAACTTGGCAAATCCTTCAGGCGAGCAGCGTCGGATCGTGTTGGCAAATCGTTCGCACATGGCCGACACCCAAGTGAGCTTGTCAATAGCATCGCGGCCATAGAACACATCGTCCTCGTGTCCAGGATGAACCTGGCCATCGACTCTCTCCCGAATGAAGCCCTGCAGCATGTTGGCCTTGAACGACACTCGCTGGAAGCGCAAGAAGGCAAGGACAGAGTTCTGATCCTCCTTGTAGCTGTCGGGGAGGAACATTTTGACAATCTCGAGATGCTGCTCCGCCTCCTGCGCTTCGAGTCGACGGAGTTCCAAGTCGATAGCCTTGACTTGAGCTTTGGAGGCAGATAGCTGCAGCTTCATATTGAGGTCCAACATGGCTCTAGACCGGTCGTTCAGCTTCGCCGACTCCGTCTCGGTGACAGCGTGAGAGGCGCGCATATCTTCCAAGTCCGTCTGTAAAGTGGTGACGAGTTGGCGGAACCTGGAGAGTGTATACTCCATGTCTTCCAAGCCTTGCTCCTGTTGAGTAACTCGTCGAACTTGTTCGGCGATAACAGAGTCCTTAAAGTCAAGTTCCTCCTGCATCTCCTTTTCATTCTGAACATGGTTGGCTTCGAGCTCGTCGTTGAGCTCCTTGAGGGTCTCGAGCTCATCAATAACGGCCTTGAGCTCGGTGACCTCCTCGCCTAGGGACATGTTCCGATGCGTAAGGTCCTCAATTAGATCTTCCGCGCCAAGAGCGTTCTCGAGCTGCTGTCGCAAGTCCTCAATGATGTCACTGGACTTTTCGAGCTTCTCCTTGCATTGGCCCAACTGCTCCTTCGTAACGGCAAAGTCCTTAAGGTCCTCCTCCAATGCAGCATTTTGATCCAGCAGCTCGGCTTCCTTCTCACGCGTAATGTCCCGAAACCGCACGAGAGCTTCTCTTAGCCTTTCGTTTTCCCTGTCCTTGGCAATCCAGCTTTCACTAGCTCGCTCTTCGGGAGTAAGACCTTGGACAGCCTCCTCCCGTTCGGCGTGCAAAATATCATACTCGAGCTGGAGAACCTCGAGCCGCTCTTTAGTCATCTCAAGATCCATCTTGACGTGTTCAAGCTGCTCTTCCGCCATCTCACGGTCAAGTAGCATGCTCTCCAGCTCCGTCTCATGGTCAGCTTGGGCATCTTCGAGGGCAGCTATTTTCTGCTCCATCTCTTTTACTTGTTTCCTCGATTCGTTGTTATCTTGGGCCTTTTGCTGCAGTTTTTGGATGATAGTTTGGTATCTCTCAAGGTCCTGCTGAAGCTTGGGAATCGTCGCCAGCTTGTCTCGGTTCTCCATCGCTTTCCGTTCCAGGATTTTAATCTTCGTCTTGAGATCCGCGATCTCGCGGTTGGCAGCGTCGTTCGCCGCAGGCCGGCCCCCTCTTGCTCCAGTAGCAGATCCTTGGGCCACGGCCGTGAGCCTCTCTACCGGGTTAGACTTGGTGAGGATGGGGCTCCTAGGCTTCGGCGACAGGATCTCTGTTTCACTCTTGTCGGAGGCCATAGTTCCCTCTTCCTTACTCGACCTGCGGCTATCAGCCCCGGTTGCTTGTGAATCCGCCGATGGTCGCCGTAAGCTACCAGCCCTGCTGGGAGGCTTGGAGGAGGCTAGCGATAGTCGGTTGGCCAGCCTTGTGGAGCCACTGCTTTGGCGGTTCGCCACCGAACCTGCCATAGGTTTTGCTGCAGTCTTCGGAAGAGGCGGAGGACCCATAGACGTCCGTACACTTCCAACAGTCTTAGGTTTGGTGCCAATGCTAGGGACGCGGGAATTTGAGGGGGTATTCGTTCGTGAGCTCGAGGCACTAGTCGGTGTAATGCCCTTGGTGGGCGATTTCGTAGGAGACTGGTAGGTAACGCCAATGTTAACTTGCTTTCAAGTAGCACCGGGAGAGAAGGAGAGTATGTGCGAGAGGTGTGATATCGATAGGTTAAGTCTTACTCGGGCAATGCTCGTTGGTCGAGCAGACCGAGGACCAGGGCTCGGACTCGGTGCATTCAAACTTATCCTTCTCTTTAACGCTGGATCCGTCACTGCGCTCGAACCGCCGGGATTCTGCAAACTACTCGGTCTTGATGTTCTCCTCACTGCACCCGCCCTGGGAGCCGGCGCCGCCCTCGGCGGAGCTTGGCCGATAATCTTAAGGGCCTGCGGCTTCACAAACATGCCCCGGCCCATATCGCAGGTAAAGTACCGCCTATCATGGACGCTTCCATCATTCTTGCCGCTAGCATCCTCGAGTTCGACTCCTACCCAGATGCCCTGGGAAAACGCCGTCTCACCGACGAACCTGACCTCGCCCTTGCATCCATTGGGGAGCTGGACGATCTGGCCCACAGCTATGTCCGTCATTTTGAGAGGCCGGAAGGGATGTTTCGAGTTATTACTGGTGAGTTTCACCGCGAGGCCGTCGCTACCATTCTGCTGGGGCTTGGCCTGGCTTGTTGGGGTTGAAGCCTACGGGTCGAACTAACCGGGGGAGTGGTATATTAGGTAAGAGGTTCGACCCTCAATTATAGTGCATAGGTCGTCTCGTCGTTTCGTCGGGAAGCTGGGAGAGGTTAGTCGTCGCGGAGCTCGTCGGGGAATGTTGACGGTGATGGTCCCCTTTGGTCATGCAGCTCTTGAATCCAGAGAGTTGTCGTTAGCCTGGGACGCGAACGGATAAACGCGATTGACAACAGTTGCAAAACCCCTAATCTGACAGCTGCGACATGTACCTCCGTACCAATGAACATGAGAGCAACTATCATGTGTTATGCAACTAAAGGGGCGACACGGCATCTTTGGGAGCTTGTCGCGTACCTGAGCTGCTTGCAGCTTCGCGCATTCAACTTCCGTTGATCTTATTTGCGCATCAATTCTTCAATGCCTTGCCATCTTAGGCGCCACCATCATTTTGAAATGCGAAATGCACTTGCGGATATGCCGTTTTGGGAAAATAATCAATTGTGTTCTCATGGCCTCTTCACTAGGCACAATATTCTCCTCGACCGTCTTCAACATCTCGACTCGCAACACTTCGAGACGCGATCGAAAGGATGCGACGAAGAAGCCGGTGCCAGACCACGCCTAAAGAAGAGAAAGCTTGAATGACTATAACTAATTGGTAATAAAAAGGCAGAAATGGCTTTGCCAACATTCAATTGCTCTGTGTATATGCCAGACCAGTGGCAGAAAGATAGGTATCATCACTCAATTCGTTAGATTCCCAACAGTTTCCGACCCTGTTTTTTTTCCACCAGGGAAACTGGTATAAATCCCATTTTTGCCCGTAGCATCACATGCAGGTGGCGGAGGTTGTAACGGAAGCGGATGGCCCGGTCGGCAAAGACAGAGGATGGTCCATCTTTCTTCAGACTCTGTGACCCTGTCCGGCGCGCACCCATTCCGTGATTTCAAATGCCAGCCGTCTCTCAGTCTTCTGGTCGAGACTCATCCCCTTGGGAACCCGCACGAGCATGACATTATGAGACTTTACCTCGACCGTGTTCCTTTGGTTAACATCGGTCTCGGGCGACGGCTTGACATAGACGAAGAGGTCAGGGCTGACGATTCCGCGCCAAAGGGTGGCCATCCATTGCCAGTGGTCTACTGGCGAGTACGTGTCCGTGATGGGAACGGCGCAGGCAAACCGGTCCGACAGAGTCACACTAAAGCCTCCGGGAACCAGCGCAATCGGGATCTTCGAGGAACGCCTTGTTCCCGGCTTCCGGACGTACGTGCCGCCGCAGTTATCGAATCGGTCGTGAGTGGGGATGCCGTATCCATTGTTCTCAGCTTGAGCAGAGCTGCCAAGGGCTATGTTTCCGTCAGACGCTGACCTCTGCATTTCCACGTCCATCTCGCTGGTCGGCACTGGCGCTGTGGTGATGTGGTCAATGATATCCTTCGACAGCTCGTGCCACTGCGATATGAGGCGAATATAAGCATCAAGGTGGTGTGATGGATCCTCGCTAACGCTCATTCCCGACTGGGAATTGTGAAAACCGAATTCAAGCCCACTGATAGCGGGGATTGGCGCCGGGTTTACAAACGTCTTGACAGCAGCGTCGCCATAGGTCTGGAGCGCCCTTTCCACAGCTGCGCCAACTTCACGCAGGGTTGAATCCACCGGTCCGTCGACGGCGATAAAATATCCACGGCCCGCAGCCTTATCGTTATTACGACTGCTAATCTGTGGATACGAAGGAGTGATATTGCACAGGACTTCGATTTTCTTAAGATATGGGATGGACATAATCATGGCTACTACTCCTTTTTCCTGGGAATCTTTGCCCTTAGCGACAGCCAACATCGGTGTCTCAACCGCTTCTTGAGTTGGGGCTAGTTGGGTATGCAGGGGCGGCAACCGAAGAGACTCGTCGAACCGGGGATTAGAACGAAGAGGTGGCAAGGCTACCGGGTCTTGTTGGGAAGCCGAAGGTGCGGAAGTCGACGTCACTAGGCCCTCGTTCGTGGCAGCTTGTTGTGGACCTACCCCGTACAAACGATCAGAGAAAGTTCTGCCCAGCAAATCAGGACGACCAGAGTGCGGTCCGTTTTGGTCAGGGTGGTTTCCAGGCGGCCTTTCGATTGGGTATCCTGGCGGCGTATCAAAGCGCCTGCGCTTGGACTCCGGTCCCGCGAACATGGAATCGTATTCTTCCTCTTGGATATTGCGGAGACCTCCGCTAGGCGAGAAACCATATGGCTGTGGCACCCGGTTCGGACCCAAGCCGCCATGCCCCGGAGGCACGAAATAGGCCTCTTCGCCATGATTCAAGCTGGGGTGGCCGTAAGGAGCGGCGCCGGAGGTTCGACCAGCTTGATAATGGACTGAGGGTGTCCTCGGGGTGGCGATATAACGACCGCCGCACTTGGGGCACCTTCCTCCATCCTCCGATGAAATGGAGGATCGTCCAGAGCCTCGTGCGCCTCGGCGGGGGGTATACCGGTAATCGGGGTATTGTAGCTGATGACGCTGTTTCTCCTCCTCCGCCAGGTTCTTCCAATAGGCCTTCACGGCCTCGGCCTCGTTCCTCCATTGCTCACCGATGATCTTGGACACCTCGGGATTGGGAAGACCTGGGTTCTCGGCCGTAACCGCCGCTTGGTGATGTTGACGGTACAAAATAAATGCTAGGAGAATTGGTGGTATTAGCGCACTGTTTCTCGAGGGTGATACATTCTTTCTCTCCTTTTAGATCGAAGGACCAACACCAACAAAACAAAGAAGGTGGATGAGAAAAGGAGACAATGACAGTGATTCAGACTTGCTGCTCGAGTGTCGAGGTCCAGGGACCAAGTGACACATGGTCGCAGTGGGCATGGTGTACGATGACGAATGTGAAGCAAGAGGGCGTTTGTGGGTTTCGGGAAGAACACGGAAAGAAAGAAAAGGCCATGATTCGACTCACCATTTCGAGGTCGAGGGACCTTGGGGGCAGGCGCACAGAGACAAATATAGTCTCGTCCATCACTATTCGACGTCAGACCTGCCGAGCTCGGGGTGGAGAGACTGAGGTTTTCGAACTTTTGGCGGTTAGCCTGCTCTATGTCGATAGACCCTGCTCGCTTTCGAGTAAGACGCCCGCTAGAAGATGATGAGGGTAGGACCATCTGTTCGTCCCTGGGCCTCTGATGGAAAGAAGTGTCCATGGTATTCATTGGATCTGTGATAGAAAGTAAGTGTTAATTATGGACTGGAAATGAGTATTGACAGTGTGGTAGGAGACAAGGTTGCAAACGCAACGAAGCAGGCGGGTGGTGACGAAAGTCAAGACTCAGCAGTAGTGAGTGGAGAAGGTAGGATGATTGCTTCAAGCCTTGGTGAGATTGATTGCAGCCTGCCTACAAATGAATGTATTTCTCTGAAGAGATCACTCTAAAAGAAGCAGAGAGCGGAATACACGATGTTGAACCTGCGAATGAGAGGAACTCTATGCCGTTGGGATAGGAGGAAGGTTGGGATTTGTGAAAGCAATGATTGGGATGGTAGAGTGTCGGAATATCAAAGGTTCTCCAATTTGGTATCTCATGGCAGCAGGAGTGGCTGTTGTTGGGTATTGTGGATAGAGGAACCAGATTCTGGACAGAGCGAACCGAGAAGGGAAGCACACTTACTCTCGAGTAGGAGATGTTGGAAATCTTGCTGGACGACGGAGAGAGAAGGATGTGGGTGGAGGAGAAGCAATGGGCCAGAGCCACAGGTAAGAAAGGACAGCCCAGGGTCATCCAAGGCGAATGATGAAAGGGGAGGAGTTGAAGGGACGGTAAGATTCAAAGACTTTTTGTTGGATTGTTTTCTTTGTCGGAGGTTCTTCATGGCTTTATCTTGCCCATTGATGCTTTTTTTTACTAGGATCTTCTTCTCTTACGGGCCCATTCAAAACGGAGGAATAGGGACGAATATGAGCAACAAGCCGGGGAGAAGAAGGAGAATAATAAAGAGTTGAGGACGGGGCCCAAAAAGAAAGGTCTCTGGCGAGGGCAGCAGCACCCCGAGGGATGAGAAGCACTTGGCTGAGAGAACAATGGATTTACTTGCTCTGCTTTTTGTTGTTCGTTCGTTCGTCCGGTTTGACTGGTCTTATCCCTCGCCTTGGAGGCCAGAGGATGTTTTTTCCTTTTATGCAGCGAATCGTGGGTATCTGCTGTCTCGCCCGAACCTTGCATCGGTCTCTCTCCTCTCAACACTCTCTCAACTCTCTCTTCACCCTCGGCTAGCAGTATCCGCCATTATCGCCGCGAAGAAGAGACAACAACCCGAGAAGAGGAAAACGAAAGGTGAGAAGCAGGGGAATCCCTTCCATCCCACTCTGAACGAGTCAGCGAAAAACAAGTATCGAGAGAACCTTTGGTGGATGTCGACAAGGAAGTGAGAAATAAAAAATAAACATAAACATAAAAAAAGGCCAGAAGGAAGGCAGAAAAAAAGAGAAGGCTTGAAGATGGCCGATACGATACAGCTTCCCGAAGAATGGGGCAGCGGAGGAAAAACCGAAGAAACCTCTCTACGTTTATTCCATGAAAGGAAAACCCTTGAACGGATGCCACAAGAAGGTCGTTTGGCATCAAGGAATACAGCTCATCCATTACCATCCCTTACGCAACGGACGGGGCCCAGAATGCCTTGTCGAAATGTCTCGGGAATGTACCCAGAGAAATTTAAACATATAATACGCCGGGGGCAATTCTTCAAATCTCACGCTCCCTTTCTGAACAAGACGGAGCCAAAAGGAACTTGCTCCACGGCCTCTGCATCCCAGCTTCCCGTATCCCGTACCGTACTTCTATTACGATGCGGTGTAGATGCATCTAACTTCCTTGCCCGTCTTGTTCTTTTTGTCTTGCAGCGTTTGTAACCCTCGTCCCATTCCTATGCGAAGGTGAATGGGTGGGGGATTATACCCTCCAAGAACCTTGCACATTGGCGAATCCAGCGTCTAAGTTGATTGAGTGAGAGAGAGAGAGAGACACGCACTAATACCCGGCCTTGTCTTTGAATAACCTTGCCTTTGAATAATACCGCTCTCGTACACAAGACACCCCCTAGAAGACTCTTGAGCGGCTCGAAATTCCAAGCCGAGGCCGAAGCTTCACAATAAGGCCCTTCTTTATAGACGGGAGACGAAAAAGAGGAAAGAAGGGAAAAAAGAAAATTAACAATGGTTTTGTGTGGAATGTACGCCTCTCCCAAGTTTCAGCCGACGTTTTCCTTGCAGAGCCCATCATGTGTGGCGGGAAATGGGAGGGTTCGTACAGAGACGCTCTCGGCCATCCTCTGGAATGAAGGGAAGACGTGGTCGTTCGTACTACGGCCAAGTTAACAAGGGCCACGAGATGGCCACGCTCGCACGCGAGGTATAAAATGAGAAAAAGAAGCTGACATGGATCTGCAGAGTAAATTAATGGAGGAAGCTCGGGCTCAGGGATTGTAAAACGATGCCGGCAACTTAGTTCTCGTCCCATCGTACCCGGTTTCCGTGCAGCTACTACGTTGACCTGTGCGACTCGGATAATACCAATAGTGATAGCGCCTCCGGGACCGTTCGGTTCCTGGAGAGCGCATGGAAAAGGGTCAGAGAACATCCAAGCGGGCGTCAAGCCACCGTCCTACACGAGCTTCCATTCTTTGTCCTCGCATCACTTGTACAGGGAAGATCCCTTCCTCATCGGTGAAAAAAGAAAAAAAAAAGATGACATTTTTATTTAAACCACCCAGCCCATTTTCCATCAGTGCTCACAGTGATATATCCCCTTCGCCAATAGCAGAAGAAAAGAAGAAAAAACAGAAAACCACAAGACAGGAGAGAAGAAAAGAAACGAAAAGAAAAAAAAAAACAGTTCCTTCAAGTTGTGTGTTAACAACATGGTTGATCTTCGTCCATCATATTAGAATTCTGACATGGTCCTCGTTTGCAACCCATATGCAGCCTCGTAGAACGGCGGAGACCCCGCCGGCCTTCTTGGATACTTCCGGCATGATCCGCTTCATCTGCCGATTCTAATACCCTAATCCGTGTACCATCTCATCTTAATGTTGGCCTCCTTCCTAACCGGTTGATGGGCCCATTCGATGGCGCCCACTCGCAATCCCGAAGTTTCCTCTCAGTTTAGTGTCAACATCCGCATTGCTGGGTTGTAATCCTGAGACGCTTCACGAAATGTAGCCCTTGCCAGCCTCGCTGGCCAACAGCGACGCGCTTCGCCTAGCATCAAGGAACATATCCGCACACTCGGCAATGTCCTGAACGTCGATTTGAGAGCGGCCATTGGCCTTGGCAAGAATTCTGTTTGTTCCCACTTGTTAGCCTGGTTGTTTTGTCTCGGGTGGCAGAACTTGGTTCCGGCCCCGCAAAAGCAAATGGTGGAAATCAAATCGGAGGACAAGATCCAAATTTTGGTGGAGATAATGGTAGCCGAGTAGAAATACGACCGGGAACTAGGGGAAGAAAATTAAAACGTAAACCAAAAGACTTACCCGGCCGGTGTCAATAGTTGCAAGCAGTATCGCAAGCTGACGCGCTCTCCATGCTCAGCAATCTTCTCCACCGCGCCATCCGTAACGGATGCGCCCTCGGTCGTCGCGCGAATCTTGATGATACGCCTGATCTCGTCGGGCTGGTAGTGAGTGGTGGGGATTACGAGGAGTCGGGCGAGGAAGTCGGGGGGGATGCCGTGGGCGGCCACAATATCGTCCGTTCCCCTGATGGTGCACATTCCCCTGTTGGAGGCGAGGATGACGATGGGCGCTATAGGGGATTCAAGAGCGCGGTTGAGATATGTGAAGCACTCCATGTCGAGCATGTGAGCCTGTTTCAGTTAGTAAGTGGGGTTTCACTCTATCGGGAAACAGCCGACCAACCTCGTCAATGAACAAAACACCGGGAACTAGCTCCGCAACACCTTGATCGATGTACTTGCTGACGACCTTGTTGATCTCCGTCCGCAGCTTATCCGTAATTTCCGTCATCTTAGGCCGCATGAGCTGACCCATCATGCTCATGATATCTTGGCCACCCTGAGGCCTAGCATTGGCAACATCGAGATCATGGAGCGTAACATCCTGCACAATCTCCTTCTTCTTATGCACCTCGCCCTTGGGGATAGGCACATACTCCTCCGCCTCGATATCAAACTCAGTAGCATAAGCATCCGAGCGACCGACCCTCTTACACGCGCCCGTGTTCGCCTCAATGTAAATGACATCACCGACCGTCACCCTCTCCTTCTGGATAGCCTCGTATATGCTCGGGTCGAGCCTCAATTTCTTCTGGCCCTTGGCGCTCTTCAACCCGATCAAGAGAGTGCTGATGGTCTTGCCGTATCCGCCGAGTGGGTTCTCGGCCTCCTCGGGAGTCAGCTCCGTCACCTCGCCCTCATACACTTCCTTCGTCTCGCGGACCTTGAGGCCGATGGCGCGCCGGAAGTTCTCCATGAGGACTTCGGTCTTCTTGACTTCGCTCGAGTAGATCTCGCTGCCGACGATGGGGCAAAAGGGGATCTTGGTTCCTAGCTCCTGGCTTACGGCGAGAGCGAGGGCCGTCTTGCCGGTTCCGGGACCGCCCGCTAGTAGGACGCCGCGGCCGGCCATCTTGTGCGCTCGGATGAGATCGACGACTACACCGCATGCCTATATTTTCGAATTCTGGGTTAGTCGTTTTGTGTTCGCCTCCTTCGCTGTTTACGGTACGGACGGCGGCACCTCAACTGAATGCGGCCAAAGTTGGGAAATGGAGATGATCCTTACCTCTCGAGCTGATGTCTGCCCCACAAAGCCAGAAGCTTGCCTCTCCGCAGTTCCATCAGATTTTAGGCCGAGTCCCTTGATATGGGTGTGGGCCGCCGTGCGGTTGTCCCGCTTGTTTCCCTTGACCTCGCTAATCTGGACCATCGCGACGGGCGTTTTGTGTCGAAAGCTTCAATTGGTTCAAAGGAAGAGGGTATGTAGACCGATTATTCGTGGGGTGTTGTTGTGGATGAGGAGTCGAGTGTTGTCCCTGGAGGCGGGTGTGCGGAAGGGAGAAAGTTGATCAAGATGTTTAGAACCTGAAAACAGGCAGGTTGGTAGGAGCTCCAAAAAAGTTTGGTTGCGCCTTGTTGCTTTCTAGTAATTCTCACAGCCCTGCAGCCTCTGCAGGAGGCGAGCGACAAAAGTAGCACTCGGGGGAGTTGGTTGGATTTTGCTTAGTCAGCCGACAATGACTATGATGCGACATGTCGGTGGTCCTCTTTCACATTCCCAGAAAGATATCAGCTTCGAAGATAATCAGAGCACTTTCCAGGCATTTTCACGGAGTAGCTCGAGGGCCAATCATTAAACTCATTTTCAGATGACTCGAAACTATAAGCTTTCGGGTAAAGAGGATAGGGAATCAAGGCCTCTCAAACAACCCCCTTTCGCCTCGCCTGGCTGACACTTTGCTCCCAATACCGAACACGTCTCTATGAGAAGGGAAAAAAAGACGAATGGATTATTATAAAGTACAGTTGAGTTCGACCATATTAAACATTTAAGCGCTGAAATACTCGATCCCCAAATCTATTAAGCGTCCCCCCCCCCAAGGATCCAAGGCCGAGCCCAACCATAGTGGTACCATCTAGATCACCTATTTCTTCTCGTCATCACTAGATTCGACTTCCTCCACAGAGGGCATACTCGCCGCTCGAGCTGCCGGGTTCTCCACGTTGACAACGCCTGTTGCTCTCAATCTATAGCCAAGCTGTTAATATGCAACAAACCGTAGACAGATGGTGGTGGGTAGCCGGCAACTAACCTTTCGAAAAGAACAAACAATCTCTCAGCCTCGCGCTCCTTCTCCTCATCCGTCATCTCGGGTAAGTCGACTTCCGCCTCCATGTCCATCCTCTGTCCAGTGATCGGGTTAATGGGCCGGGTATCGGTGACGTCACCGCCGCCTGCTGCCATGTCCTCCTGCGAGACGTTGATGCCCTTCGTAGTGAGATATCCGATGGCATTTCCGAAACCCACGTTGCGGATAAACTCTCGGGGGTCTTTATTGGATAGTTCGAAGAGGAGAGATAGAGTAGGATCTCTTAGCTCGGGAGACGTCGAGTTTACGCCGAAGCGCAACAGCCTATGTGGAAGCGTTTGGCCCCTTCCAAGCACTTCTTTCCGGTCCTCCTCTGAGGGGAGTAGGCGTTCTTTCAGCTGTTTTATAGTATCCGACTCCAGATCTGCTGCTTGCGCCACACGGTGTAGGGCCACCATTGGAGTCAACAAATTCATCTCTCCAGCCTTCCCTGCATAGCTCCTGAGGGAAGCATCTACCACGTCTATCAATTTCCCCACGTTGGCCTTGGGGAAGGAAACGCCCTTTCTAGACTTGTCGTGGAACGGAACGGAGGCCAAGCAGCCTACTAGTAGAGAGACGGGGAGCTGCATAGGCGGAGTGGGTATGGTGACCTTGTCGAGGAGGTCGAAAACGGACTGGACAGAGGGGATGAAGAGGTGGGCTTGGGCCTCGTAACTGACTGCTAAGGTAGACATGAGTTTCAAGCTTGCGACGCAAGGTTGGGCGGGGTCGTCGGTCAGTGGTGATTCGGATTTTGCATGACGGGCGAGGTTCTGTGAGTGGGCACGCAAATTATTAAGATTGTGTGTTAGCCGTGATGAAGCGCCAGGCGCCGTGACAATGTACAACCCGTAAAGTGGTATATGTCGGACACAACGTACATTGTTGATCAACTCTGCTAGGCCATCGTTCTCAAATGATGGACTGAGATCGAGCGTAGTTTGTACGGAGGAGAAGAGAAGAAGATTGCCGCAAGCAAGTTCATCGTCAGGCTCACCGTTCTAATTTTCGGGAGAAGATACCAGCTTGTTAGTTTTTGCCTAGAAAGTGTGGCACCTTTGAACAGGGGGTGCGATTTTTGAGAGTCGGCGATATGTTACCTTTAATCGCGCGACGACCTTCTGGGGATAGCCCTCATCGACAAAAACTTGGCGCATTGGCTGAGCTAGCACAATAATGTTGTTTAAACACCGCGCGGCAATGCGCCGTGTGTTGAGCGGGACATTCTCGTTGTCGAAGGCGTAACGGCCAACAACGGACAGGCCGCGCTTGGTTGTGAGGGGGTCTGAGAAGGGATTTCTGATGGTTCGAGTATAGAGATGAAGAGAAGTGAGAATCTCGTCGCATTCTGAAAATTTTCCAAATTGAGTTGGAGTTGTGGTTAGCGGAGATTCTCGCGAAGCAATGAATGGAGCTCACGTCCGGGTGGAGTGAGGGAACATGGAACACGGAACATGGAACATGCGATGAGTCGGAGTGGACGCATGCGGGTTGCAGCATACCAGGTACAGGAACGGCGGAAGGTCTCTCGAGACCGGCCTCGAGGCGGTTCAGAGATTCCCGAACTTGATCGGGTGTTTCTATCGTGAGTAGAGATGGCGTCAGTCATCGGCGAACAATGTCGTGGTGAGCCATCCGGTTGACGGCCCGAGAATCTCGAGAATCGGAGCTAGCTCACTGTTCATGGCAGGCTGGTGAAGATGAAGTTGCGGCTATGGCGGGGAACTTGGTGGTAATTCGGCGCAGTCGAGTCGGGACGCGGTGGGAAGCGGTAGGGCGGACGCTGTACAAATGAAACAAGGCCAGACGATCAGCCTTTATGAGAGAAAGGAAGAAGGCGAAGCTCCAGAGGGAGATGAAAGATGTATATTTAAGTAGATTATGAGGGATGGATCCACAGAGTCGGAGCGGCGGGTGATGGGCAATGGAGCAATGGACAATGGACAATGAATGGACCAGGCTCGATGAAATTGAAATCGTTGATGTAATGATGGAGGGGCAACCTTGGACTGCAATTTCGCGACGGTCGCATGGAGGCTCGTGGCGGGGTACTCCTGCTTTTCTCCTTTCCCAGTTATTGCCAGGGCTGTCCTGATCCTGGTTCTCCTAGGTTCGGGGTTCGAATGTGCCCACTTCAATCCTACGTCCCTGTGGAAGAAACCCTTGGAAAAGCGGTAGTGTAATCAATCAGTCTCGACCTGATAATGATGACGGCAATCTGGCTGGGGCCAAGGGGAGCACGAGCGCGAGGGTAAAAGGTTTCGATCTAGTGATGCGCTAATCCTGTAATTCTCCTTAAAATCCCTCTGACCGCAACATTCCGACAGCATTCCGCAACCTTCCAGACGGGCAACTGTTGCGGCTTGTCGACAAAGTAGCCTTGGAAGGCACAACCCACACACTCTCTGCGAGTGTTACCATCGTGATCCTTGTCTGACAGGTGTGTAGCTGTATGTAGAAGGACTCGTTCCTTTACGATTCTTACGATCCTCCGTTAATATTACCCGCCCGCCTTTAGATGAATGGGACTGTACCACACCCACCGCCCTGAGATGCCAACGTCTCTGTTCTCAGGATGTGTACGATTAAATGACTTCAAGGCTTCGAAGTTCCCCCCCTTTTTTTTTTCTCATCCCGTCAATTTGTCGTCTTTGAAAGCCACGTGCGATCTAGTTCGTCCGACATCCGTTCTCTGTGCATCACATCACTGCCTGCTTATCAGCTCCACTCGCTCGAACTTGCACTAGTTTAGCACGTCCGGTTCCTTAAGGCCGGGTCAGGACTAGGGTCGACATGATTAAAATCGGATGAGGCTAACCCGCTCGGCTCTGCCCCTGACGGCTTGCTCAATTCTCCGACAATACTGGGTTTGTACGTCGTATAATAGTTGATACAAATACTTTGTCAGTAGACGTACAGGGTGCAGGGTACTATGAAGTATCGTAGCATTGGGATGCCGTCTTGCATTTGATGACTGGCAGTGGCATTCGTTACAGAGGAGGGACTGGACTCAAGAGACCGCCGGGCTGAGGTATGATGGGGCTCTCTACTACAATGTAGGTTACAGGACTGATGCACTGCTAATTTACTTCGTGCCTGACATCGAGGCTTGGGGTGGGGAGGGTAGTAGTGTATCGTTTTTCCCTTGCAGAGATGAGGGAAAGAGACCTTGATGTCGACTAATCTCCTTTCCGTCTCGCATTTTCCTCTGCTTCCACCTCCGCCCCTTTCTACACTCCTCGGACACCTCGAACTAGACAAGAAACTATTCCCTCAAATGAATTACGAAATATGGAAGATTGTATCAGACACAGGACTTAGAAAGACCCTCCCACCTGTGCTGAATCTCGGGTGGCCCTTGCGATCCTTGTATCCAACCCTGTCGCGAACCCGTTCCCTTCGACTCCGCCACTAGCTTGTGCCTGTCTGTTCGTACCCTGCACATGGACAGACAGCAGCGACAACGTCTTCGATGACCTCACCTCTACCGTGGGCATCTTGTCATGAAGCCAGTGAGAGATTAGGAGTAAGGGTATCAGTGACAGGCAGGATTATGACATGAGCAATGGCCTCGCCCTCGATGAAGATATGCCAGAACCCACGGTCCCAGGCACTTCTTTCACACAAGTAGCGAGCTGAGAAGAAAAGGGAAGGGGAATTTTTTTCTTCTTTCTTAATCCGGGACCTAGATCTGACTCACATGGACTGCTTCGTACACTACAGGGTCCTTGCTGCTTCCTGGAGACTGTGGCTGGGGCTGGGTCGAAAGAAATGGATGTAAGGCGCACGACACACTATTACATACCTTCCCCCTTTTCTCCACGTTTTTCGATTTTTCTTCTCCTGCCCCTCGTTCGCAAGGTGTGTGCGCGTCATTAGCCGCTAGCCTGGCCTGGGGGACCGATGGCTTGCATCACAGATACCAGGCTGGTGTCACCTTCTATTACAGATGCCACAACCATGAGACTTGCGCAGTAGCTGAATGCACTCAACTCTCTCCTCCTCGCCCTCATCGCGCCTGGAGATGCTTCGATGGCCGAGAATGGGTATCGAGATCCTCACTCAACCCGAGCCCTGCAACTCTCCATCACCTCGAAAGTTGTCATGCACACGGAGATCGTCCAATCAAGATGTCCAGCAAACAGCCACCAGTCTCTGCGCCTCCTATATTGACAATCTCGAAGCATCTGCGGCTTTTACACTTGGCCCTCTCACGCAAAATCCCCCCCCCCCCCTTTAGCCACATTATTTTCGGTTCTGCCGTTCACGAGATGTACCCACCACCAGTCGACATCGTTCTGTCCTGTTCCGCATGGTGCGATGTAAACCTGCATCGGTTACTTCGTGGTCAAAAACGGGCAGGTCTCCAGGGCCTTTGGCCGTGGTGCTTAGAACCCTGTAGACCTAAGCGAGGTACTTACCCTCCAGGGGGCCTACCGGAAGACGTAGAAATGGCTTGCCGGTTTGGGGCCATAGTCACGCGGCGCCAGTCTGAGGCAGACCAGGAAATAATAAAAAGCTCGCTGAGACCGGATTTTGAGGCCGCGCCGTAACTCGTTCGTTGTAACTCCATGTCGTTCATCTAATCTCGAGAGACGCCTCGGACCAGTCTTGAGCGTTCATTCCACTCTTTTGAAGTATAGATCAATAGTGTTGCTCTATAGCTTACAGCCTACGCAAGCGACAGCCTTATATTCGAACCTTCCCCGAAACCACCCTTCAACCTCGAGCAGGATAACTCTGATAATCCATACATCAACCCTCTCTCGTGCATTAGCAAACATCAATATGTGAGTGCCCCCACTCCCCCTCTCCAACCCTATCGTCTTGCCCGTTATCAAGTTTAGGTCTATCAAGTTGTCTAACACCTCCAAGGCTACTGCCAACCTCCAGAATCCTCGCGGTCCGACTACAATCGAATGAGGACGAAAACCGATGCGGCTCAAGTACTTCCGGTCAACTCAGCTGTTACGGCAACAGTCACGGAACCTGTTGCTCGCACGCCAGTTTCTGCGGTTCGACGGAAGACTACTGCGGTGACGGATGCCAAGCGGACTTTGGTATATGCAGCGCCGTTTAGATCAGTGAGGACGGCCATTGCGGCATGATTAACGGGAATCCTGTTGTGTGCAACGGAAGTGGATGGGGCAACTGCTGCGGCTCCGATGGGACTTGCGGAAATTCTACTGCTTTTTGCGGGTCGGGATCGGGATGTCAGGGCAAGTTTGGTCGCTGCATAACCAACCGGGTCTCAACAGACCCGTTGCCTGTGCCATCCTCTGTGGGGTCACCGCCTTTCCTGCCCTCGGCTTCGGTGTGCCCGCCTTCCGCATCTTCCTCTGTGGCGCCCTCGTCGTCTACCACATCCTCGCCTGCCGCATCCTCGCCTCCTGTGCCCTCCCCAGAAGCGTCTTCCAAAGCTCTGCCGACAGGCCAGATTGTTGGTATCGCCATCGGTGCTGTCGTAGGTGTCGTCCTCGTCGCCTACCTATCCATCATCGCAATCCGGTGCTTCAAGAAACGAGACCAGAACAAGCCCCGAAAAAGTCCTGATCAAAATGGAACCTCTATTACAAACCACAATTACTATAATAATAGCCTGGGGCAACAGAATATCCACGGCGGCCCGGGGGATCAGAGCAACTACAACGGCCTTGGCAGTCCATACAACGCCGAACCGTCTACTCGTGACGCCCCAGGTATAAGCGGATGGCCTATGGGTATAATAAGAGACTCCGCCCGGTCTACCCACACTTTCAACAGGCCCATCAATGCCCTACCAAACACGGGGGACGGGGTTCCCAATGGCAACTACGAGCAACGGGCGATGTAAGGGGGGACTTGCAGAATAACAGGATAATACCAGGGTATAAACTCGGGTCTAACACCGGTAAACTCTGGACTGGTTGGTTATTTACGCCAAGTCAGGGATGATGATATGACATGTCGAATATGAGAAGACGGCTTTGCGTAAGGTGGTCAAGTTTATGAAGCATTTAATATCTATTTAGACACGAACGGTACAGCAGAATACATTAATTAGATCGGAGGAGGAAACGCTGCAGAGGGGACCCTCGGTATAGAGCAGTAGATAGGTATTCTGGGACGACTACGACGAGATTGACAAATAGGGAGTATGGCAGGGCGTTTGGGTCATGATTGGAAAAGGCGCTAGACTTATAGGTTTCTGTACAGTCATTTGATGTATTTATTTCACGGGCTATATGGAGTTTTATAGAATCGATTTCGTTCTAATACATAGCTCACTACCTGGAAGCGCTCTTTCACGAGCTGGCTTTGTGTAAAGACTCAACCATGCCAACGAAGTCCTAAGTGTTATTCCTCTGTCCCTCCCCTCCTCCTACTTACCCCATCCCTAGGTCCCATTCGACCTTCTCCCCCGCATTCTCAAAAATCCGCGGCAAACCATTCATGCCTACCCTCACTGACGTCGAATTTTCCCTGGAGGGTGAAGAATCCCGAAATGCTGAACGGTGCATTTAGAGCACCTGGTATTGAAATATGTCCCTTCTTGGTCTTTCAGTCTGGAGAGCGCAGGCTCACTATCTGCGGGCCGTATGTCTTGCGGGACGGGGTTCTCGCCAGGTCGGAGGAGAGTGGCGGCGCTGTAGGGACTGTCCGTGGGTCCGGGGCGCGGAGTAGAGGGACTCAAATAATTCTGGAGTAAAGGCAGGCATGAGAAGTAGGTAGACTTTTCTAATTGATTGACAGAATGCTATTCTAGTAGAAAGCGGCACCAGCCGCAAAACCCCCCTCACATGAAGGGGTATTATCCTTCGACGTCATAATCTCAACCCTAGGCAATCTTCGATAGATCACGGTACCGACGGATGCCAATCGGCGAGCTCGAAGGGAATGCAACATCGCCACGTTAATACAAAATGGTCGGCCGTAGCAGCGGGAGTGAGGTTGGAAATGCGTGAGATCTGGCTGGCCAATCGGGATCTAAGCCCACAAACGGCCCGGGATTCGCGGAGATGTGGGTCGCCGAGGTGCCGTAGCTTTTTGCTGCAGCTCCGATACGACATCACAGAATCTAGCTCGCTACCTAGAGGCAGTTCGATAGACACGGCCTATCCGTCTCGTCGTACATCCGAGAACCAGAATCCAACAGCCTACCTGTTCTTTCAACCGTTAACGCGCAAGAGTACGACACGCCCAAGATAAAGATATACCGATGACCATGTGAGCGGCGATGTTGCTTTCCCGTTCGTGGAACTTCAACATGCGAGTATGACGGAAGATGTGGGGAAGGTTGGCAGCCCCCTTTGTCACTACTCTTCCAGTATTCGCCTCCTTACGGGCAGCATCTACTCTGTACGTTTACTACGCGAGCATATGTTTGCATGTAAACTAATTTTAGTCTTCATTATATTATATTCGCCACCTCGGAACCTTTCAAGGTTCTGTGAAACGGTCTCCTTGAGCCATCACCTTATTAGTGAGCGATCTGGCGACGACCTAAGGGCCGCGAGTTTGGGAAGGACATAGGACCATAGGCAAGAAGCTCTCCTGAGCAGTTGCAGAACTAGATGCAAGCGAGCTGCACTTGCGGTCACTCAAAGCTTTGCCCAACTCGTCAAAGGACACGGAGTCTCGCATATGGCGCCATAGACCCCATCTTTCATTGATGCCCACGTTATCTCTGCATCTTTTCAATGATGAGGTTCCGACACTTAGAGTTGCGGGACGGGTTGTTTTCCCGAATGGATATCGGCAGAATTATCATCCTCGGTAGCATGAAGCGAGCCGAGCCTTTAACCAGGATATGAAAAGGGGCAGATGGTTGTAGGGTATTTCCAGGATATTTGGGCACTGTCAGAGAAGGGGCTCATCGTGAAGGGGCTCTTCTCACGATGCGATCCCCTTTTAACGTTATGAAGAAGAATCTATTTCGATTTCGGTAGATGAGTGTCAGGCCTTTCGGCGATTTCGACAATTCTAGTCAATCAATCGTATTGAGGTGACGGGCTCCCATGATTTTATTGGGTTGGACGGTGCTTGCCGCCGATAATTGGGAAATTTTGTTGGGCAGCACCCACTGAGACCAGCTGGCTGGCGTATGCAGCAGGTAAAGGGTAGGGTAAAGGGTAGTGGGTGCCCTTACAGAGACCAATTGACCTGTGCCTCCGAAGAACTGATTATCTCGGTAGTCCCGAGAGTGACACGATTTCGTAGGAATTGATATCGATCAATTGAGTGATCTCTTCATGTAGATCGGGTACTTCGTAGAAACACTGTCCAATAGTCTTACACTCCATCGCCATCCCGCTGATTTTTAGGTGGTCAAGCATTGAGTTCAATCACTTGAAGTCCACGTTTCAATGCTCTGACTGGTTCCTGACACGTGACGTGATTTTCGATCCTCCCCCCATTCTTCCATTCTCCCATCCCCAGGGTCTTGCAAAGTGCCTCAACCGCCAACGTGGTGGACATTAAAGTCCGTTTAAACCGCAATAGTTCTGTTTTAGTCTCTGTCCCGACTCCGGTTAGCCGCTTTCGATGTGAATGCATCCAAATTCCTTGATCACCCCCTTGCGACGATCGACGACTCCTTTTCCCCCATTCCGCCTCTCGCTCGCCATTTTGTCTCATCTCCCGCCGACCGACCTAAACTAAAACGTGCGTCACTTTCGCTCGTTCTCACGTTCTCACGTTCTCACGGACTGTGGGGGATACCGCCCTACGAAGGTACAAAGGAATTCTTTTCTCCCTGGCGCACACTCAGCCAGACCCACGCTGCCTCGATTCCCAGCCTCCCATTTCGATCGCATCAATTGACCCTGCTCTCGACGATTGCGACACGACACGACACGCCACGAATTCTGTTTTTCCCTTTCTTTTTTATTTCTCCTTTTGGTACGAAGTAGTGCTCTGGTTTCTTCCACCATGCCTTGACCCATGATTCGACTGCATGACAGTTCTCCAACGACCCCCGTTACTCTTCAGAGCCGCGAAGCCTTGCCTACGCAGCCATGAATGGCTTTTCACCCCCTAGAAATCCTTATTCTCGGGATTATAATGACGGCCCTTCTCCCCCGAGACGTGCCCAACCGCCTGGGCCGGGTGCACGAATGATGGTCGACGGCTACCGCAAGGATGCGAACAATAATTTTGGCAGGGACGCCTTGCGAACCAATCCGGCCCAAAGGGACCCTAATCGACCACGAAGTTCTGCCTTAGTAGACCTCAACGACCCTATCCAAGTCCACCTCCTCACCGAGACCGCCCTATTCGACAGCCGCCAATTCGTAATCCTCTCGCAAGAAGAAGTCGACGATTTGAAAAAACAATGTCAGACCATAACCCAACGTATCGAGACGACCCGCGCGAATCTCGCCGTCCAGATCAAGTATCGAGATGCTGCCGCAAATATGGCGAAGCTCTTCTCACCTACCCGATCGTCGCCTGGCAGACGGACCCCATTCGGAAGCCAGGCTGGCAACCGCGATAGCGCTGAGCAGGCAGAGTTAGAGCGTCAAGTCTCCGAGAGGAAATGCGAGGAGCTGGCCTCGGAGCTTTGGGGTCTTGAAAAGCGGATCATGGAGCCGCAACGCCGCCTACTAGAACACACCGCTGCCATATTACAACTAACCCACAAGGGCTCGAGCAAGAAGCAACAACAGCCAAGTCTGCTCCCGATAAATGGCATGCCAGGAAGTCCCGAAAGCCTTTATACTTACTCTAATGGACGGTCTAGCGTAGACCTGGAGTTTCAGAGGTCTATGGAAATTCCTCCAAAATCTCCCATCCGGGAACAGACAACCAAACTCCGTGGGGAGGCCGACCGGTTAAAGCAGGAGAACGACCAGCTACGGGCCCAAACAGATGCCTATAGTTTGGAGATGGATGCTCTACGGCAGGAGTCCTCCGACAACGAACGAGACATTATGGATCTGGAGCAGAAACTGGAATCCTTGAACTCATCTCTCCGCGATGTCATCGTGAAGTTCAACCCCGCGAAGAATTCCGACTTCCGCATGCCTCCTTCGAGCAGAGACTCGCCGAGGGGTGCGCGACCAGCAGCCATTATCGGCGATCAGCTCGACTACCTTGCCAGCACGATATCAGCTGTCAAGCAGGAGCAGGAGCAAGGACATTCCCGCTCCCGCTCTGTCGACGATGAGGCCTCCGCAGCAGTAGCCATAGCTCAAGCTGAAGGCCGCTTAGATGCCGTCAACAGGCAAATCACCGACCTCCTCCTCAGCGTTAATGCAAAACCACCACCGCCTCCTAACCCGGCGCAGCTTCAAGGGGGTGATCTAGAATTAGATGACCGCATTAGCTATCTTCAGTACTCTCTCCGAGTTGTTGAGACGGAGTTGATTCAGGCGGTGGAGGCTGCTGGTAATTTGCAGCCAGTACCTTCAGGAGGCAATTCTGAGCCCTTACTCAGGGAGCTTTGGGATATTATCCAGGACGGATTTTCGGAGCTCCGTCGTCAGCGGGAGGATCGTAAGAAAGTACGCCAGGAGAAGGGTCTGGATGATGATGAGGATGAGATGGCCATCGACGAGTCGTTCGACGCCAATGAGCCATTCTCCGCCACTGGTCTATCTATCCGTATCCGGTCTCTCTCCTCTCAGATTTCCAAATTGACCGAGCACAAGGTCGTGCTGAAGAGGCAGATTAAGCAGCAACGCGAGCTCAACAACAAGTCGAGTGGCGAGAAGGATATCGAGCTGCAGAATAGGGATGAGGAGATCGAGAGGAGAATTCTGGAGGCTCGAAACAAGGAGGACGAGCTGCAGGCTAAGATTGCCATCATTGCGGATAAGGATTCGGAGCTTCTCGACCTCGATAAGAAGGTCTTCGATCTGGAGTCCAAGATTGCCGATCTCGATGCCGAACTGAATGAAGCTCGTAGCTTAAGCGCCAACTCGGTAGCTAGCGCCGGGGATGTCGAGGCCAAGGACCGTCGCATTAAGGAGCTGGAGGCCGAGATGGCCGATATGCAGCAGATTCTCGAGAAATCCCGAGCCGACGCCACCCAAACACAAGGAATGCTCCTGTCAGCCCTCCGTGACCTCGACACGGCCAACCGCAACGCCGAGACGATGGAGTCCGAGAACCTCAAGGCCGCCCGCGCCGAACTCGAGGAGAAGACCGCCAAGCTCGCCGCTCTCGACTCGAGCAGCAAGGACCTCGAAAGCCGCCTCAACATGACGGAAGCAAGCCGCAGCGAGCTGCAGACGCGCATGGACGAGATCGACGGCAAGATCGAGTCCCTCGAAGTCGAGCTCGCCGAGGCGACAGCCGCCCGAAAAGCAGCCGAGCTGTCGTCCGAGTTCAAGCAGAAGGAGCTCGATGGCAAGCAACGCGAGATCAAAGAAAAAGACGACGTCCTCGACAGCCTCAACATGATGGTCGTCGAGCTCAAGACGGAACTCACCATCGCCCAGGCCGAGCTCGAGGGCGCCTACGGCTCCCGCGCCGAACGTGCCGCCGACGTCGCGGCCCTCAAGAGCAGCGACGAAGTCCGCCAGCTCAACGGGCAGATCGACACGCTCAAGGGCGAACTCGAACAGACGCTCAAGCAGCTCGAGGACATCACGCGCGAGACCATCAACGCCGAGCGCGAGAAGCTCGAGATCGAGGGCAAGCTGGACGATGCCGTCGCAGCGAGGTCCTCTCTCGAGGCGGAGATTCAGGACCTTCGCGATAGGTTGGACGCGGAGATTCTTGCGTCGCGCGAGAAGATTAATAAGCTTCAGGAGGAGCTCGATGCGCAGAGGCTCAAGGTCGTGGGGACGGGTGAAGGGGGGTCGGTGAGGGCTGGGGCTGGGGCGTCGATGTTAAGTGAGCAGTTTAGGGCGACGATGAGGGAGGAGAGGAAGAAGTTCCAGGAAGACATGAGGGTAAGGACTTTTCTTTTCTGGAGCCTTGTTTTCGTGTCTATGTTTGGTACTAACGAGTCTTATAGGAAGAGCAAGCTAGGCGGCGGAAGCTCGAGGATGAGCTTGCGCGTTTACGCAAGACACTAGGGCCCGGCAAGAGCCCTCTTAGTCCGAAGCCCTCTTAGTCTGAAATGAACGGACCAAAGAGCGACCAGAGACCTCTTCTTACAGGGAATCTTTCGATGGACGATTCTCCCATCACATATCAATACCTATCAAACGGCTGTCTTCGTTCTTCATTCCCGCAGCCTTTGGAGAGTTTGTCCTTTTTTCCCCTCCCCATTCCTATTCAGCAGCTGTTTTTTCGCATAGCGTTTCCTACTTCGTCGTGGTTGAAGCACTCCCTATCGCATGTTTTTCTTCCTTTCCGGTCTGGTTTGCGCTCATGTTTGATTTTTTTTTATTTTTTTTATCTACTGAGTTGGGCCGCATGGTATATATAGACGGAATTTTTTTTTTTTTCTGTTGTATTCTGCTTATATCTTTGAGAAACCTGAAGGGGGATGAGAGCCATGTACATGTATCATGATGACGATAGGTGACAAGATGAGGCCGGGAGACGAGGGCCGGAGGGCCCCGCCCCCGGTTTTCAAGATGCTTCAGCAGAGTGTGTTTAGCATGTATTTTTTTTGACGCAGCGTACCAAAGGCGGTATAATGAGGAATCAAAAAGGACGATTTCACTTGCTAGAGTGTGGACGAATGTGTGATTTCATGTGTTCGATATTTTTTTTTCTATTTGGGTATCGTATCATAACCTCGTCCTGCTCGGCAATATAATCCTCAAGGGGATATTGATAGCGGCCCTCGTCTCTCCAACTAGTTGATTCTAATTACCCTAGCATCCGGTCTCTCGTTCTCAATAATCGAGACAGACGTAAACGGCCGATTCCTCCTCTCTGGCCGAGAGCGAAGTAAACATATGCATCTCCGCAAATGCACGTAGCCAAGCCTTCTCCAATCCACTAGCAACAGTGGGCGAAGACCAAAGAGTTTTGGAATAACAGGGCAATACCGTCGCTGAAATCCCCATCCCTAAACACCAAAAGTAGCAACAATAGAGACTCCCTCCCCTCCAGCCCTCAGCAAGAGCTTCAACTCCACGACTCACCAAACCGCCCCATCCCCTTTCACCTCTTCCTCAATACATCCGCCTCAGCCTCCACATCATCATCCTGCTCCCCCAAAGCCTCCTCCTCCACCACCTCCACCCTCCCAGCAGCACCCGCACCGCTCCTACTCCTCCCCGCCTCCGAAGAAGCCCTCTTCGCACTCGCGGGAGCGCCCTTGGCCTCCTGCGCCGCGGCATCCTTCACGATATCATCCTCGGTTTCCTTAAAAATGCGCCTGGCGCTCTCAATCTCGTTCTTCTTCTCGAAGACCTCTTGAATCTTTCCGAGGAAGGACGGGTTGCGGCGGAAGGCGAACTGGAAGTCTTCGGCTTTGATCTTTTGCCGGCCCGCGTGGTGGGCCACGCGGTTGGCTTCGAAGGCTACCCCTTGGATGAAGTCGGTGAGGATTTCGTCGCAGACGCGGAGGGTTTCGGGGAGGGGTTGTTTGACGTCGCCGAAGCCGAAGAGGATGAGGCTTACTGTTTTCGCGAAGGGCGTGCGGGTCAGCCAGGAAGGAGGGTTGGGGGAAGGGGAAGGGTTGCGACGTACAGTCGTTAGCGGTAAAGTTCATCTTTCCGACATTTTTGCCGGCGCGAGCTCGGGGCTCCATTTTGGATGATTGGCTTCGGAAACCGTTAGAATGGGGAGAGTGGTGAGTTGAGCAGAGGTTGGTGAGCGAGAGACAGGTTTCGCGTCGATCGTGACCAGCACTTCTTTGATCGATCGGGAGGCTTTATAGAAGGAATTAAACGTAAGAGTAAAAAGTAGGAACAAGATGGACACGGGCTATGGTTTCGGTATCCGCGCGAAGGAGAATGGAAGAGAAAGGGCTGAAGTTGAGGCTGGATTGGCGGATCGAAGTCGAGTCAATGTGAGCTTGGGTTTGAGGCTTTCCAAGTCCAAAGTTCAAAGTTCACATGTTGAAAGTGACGTGGGCGCCATTCGCGTAAATGTCGGCTAAATAGTTCCAGCCAACGTAGCTCCAAAGCATCATTGTCCCTTTCTCAACTTCTCGACGTCTCGACTTGCAACCTGGACAAGATATTCTCGACGACAACCACAGACGGAAATACTAGTTTTACGACCCCAAAACCCCTATTTTCAGCTCATATCATCTATTCGGAGCTCCTATTTTCTATATCGAAAGATTCGGGCGAAGCAGAAAACAATCATCCACCATGGTATGGTTCAAACCCCTAGCTATCGCAAAGCGCAATCCGGTCCTAACCTAGGAAAATATAGTCTGCGCTTTTCAACTTCCAGTCTCTCCTCCTCGTCATCCTCCTCCTCATCTGCACGAGTTCCTACGCGCACGCCATGTTTCCCGCGATCATGGATCGGAACAAGGACGGGTACGTTTAGGCATGCGCCGGAGCCACCCCAAACGGTTTCGGGATTTCAAGGAGGTCGCTAACGGTGTTTCTTATCTCTCAACCAGATTCGCTGGCATCTTTTGGAAGTGCGCGAGGGTAGGAGAACGGCTAAGTCCGTACATAAGTATATGTTGCGTCTTCATGGCCGTAAGACTGCTCTTCCACGCCTCAGCCTCTTTGATGAACCGCACTTGCTAACATTCCGAACTAGGTCTCCATCCTCCTCAACTAAACTAAACTCCAGACGACGACTCGGGAACCCACCTTATGACTATAATGATGTCCCATGCTATGACATTCTTGGGATGCCGATAACGTCAGGGTTCGAGGATACCGATCTAGTCCCAAATTTTTACTTCTATATTCATGTGGAGTTCAAGGCGTTCGGGAAACAACAAACAGCAAAGACTAGAAGGGGCGAATTTTACATGTACAACGTCTTACGTCGGTTATTGCCGGAATATTAATCTATATCCTTGACACGAAAGAGAAGGGATCACCAATATACAGCATGCATTTCTCTTTTTTTCCCCCTTAAACTGGGCTTTCCGGACCCTACGGCTTAGTTTTCCTGGGGCAGTTACAAAGTTTGCGTCGGAAGATAGGGCGTCATCTAGCATCGCGGCAGGATTTTACCACGACAAGTGGCAATTTCACGCAAGGCGCAACGAGCTCGGGAGAGTCCTCGCCCAACGGAGCTTGCGACATACTTTGTCCGCCTTCTCCGCCTATGCGGAAAGCATGTGAACGATGCTGTGCGTTGTTATTTGGAAGCTTAGTTTCCTTCTTGCGCTGCGCTTCTGGTTCCGTCGCTCACAGGATTTGACGTATGGATGATACACGGAAGGGTTGATGGGGCGGGGTATGGTAGGACGTGGGTGCCTAGGGTGCCCCAGCTCGAAGAGATGGGAGAAGGGATCCATTAAAGCGCTGGCCGGGAAGGAAAGGGGACTGTGAAGATGTCGCTGAGGTGGCGAATATAATCCCTCACAGAAAACGCTACCCGGCATTCAAGTGCAACAAAGGCACTCTGCATACATCTCTACAGCGCCGTGTTCAGAAATCAGCCCTGTTGTGTTCAACGAATAGCTACATGAACGAGGATTCGGCTCAAACAAGAACCGATGCCCAATCTTCATCTGCTTGCCGGATCTACCCGCTCTAGAATGGGGGACTTACAACAGGGGACATGGTTGTTTGCCGTGGCAGATCGAGTTTCCGCTTCGGTGACGACATGCTCTACACAAGATAGGATACCAACGGCACAAACAGACGTGAGGCATTCGTGGATGTCTGACGTCAACATCACAGGGCACCATTCGCAGCACGAAGTCATTCAACGACTTGCTCCCTCGTGTCTTGGGGCAACGACAGTAACGAGGGGTTATCCCACCAGTTCCAGCTCGGGCGAATACCGCCGTTCCCATCAAATAGTTACAGTAGTGTCGTCTCGCAGATACAGTAGTCCAAGCAATAGTCTCCTTAGTCTCCTTTTTCTCTCTCTCACAAGTTTTACATAGTTCACTCCGCGATTCAAAAAGAAGAAGGGGGAAAAGGACAGTAAAGCGCAAGATGATGCAAACGTACCCGTATGACGAGGGCTACTGCATGTCTTAATAGTTTTTGGTGGGGATGGGACGGGAACGGACAAGACAGCGTGTCCGTTTGGTAAAGACAATTCGGTGGGTCCTTTTCGGGTCTGTTGTCTCACGAATAGAATGTGTGCGTGTGCGGGGGAGAAGTGGTACAAGAAGAAATTTGATGGTTTCTCGAGGTGATAGCACGTCCACGTCCCGGCGTCGCTGAACTTGCAGCATGCGTGTATCAGGTCGCAGGATGGTTAGCGGCGAGAGCCTGGGGGGAGGGTGAGGAGGTTCCTGGTCTCCGAGTCCCGAGTGATGGAAAGTGGCTTTTCTTTTTGCTTTTTCTTCCTGTCGGCTTACGACGTACGGAGTACGCATAGGTCTCTGGTTTACTATAAGACAACTGCCATAGGAGTCGAGGTTTTTACCGTATGAAGCTAATGCATGCATGCGTCTGTTGATAACTCGATACTAGTGGTGCAGTAGGCCCGATGCGCACACAAGGAAGAGCCCGCGGGTATAAGAAGCAAAGAAAGGAGGTCAGGTCTGCACAACATTGGGCTAGTATATGATGCTGATCCCAATCCTTGAGGACTCGGCTAGATGCACTACTCGGAACTTCACGAGCGGGAAGTTCATGACTATCCATCAGTGCTCAAGATGTGGTGTTATCGGGCTCATGTCTACTAGGGATGAGAGATGCCGTTGTCCTCACAACACACGGTCTTTATCTGCGGGTCTCATTCGCCTAAGACTACCCAGGTTCACGAAGTTCGTGACACTACGTAGGTGTCAGGGTAAACCTGCCAATGCCTGCGGATGCTCCCTGTTTTGGATCAATCGAAACAAGGTAACACGGCACTGACTTAGACATAGATGAGATCGCCAGATTACGAGCCAGACGTCAAAACAGAGAAGCGGGAAAGGAGCCGAGGGGTGTTAGTCGGATGATGCCGATGAGCGCTGTGTACTTCTTCAAACAGACCCTAGGCTTCACGATAGCTTCAGCACGGGTACTAGCGCGTGTATGTTCCAGCCCCAGGTTGCAGGTCATTCAATCGTTTCCATCTTAGAATGTTTGTGTTTGAGGCCATGACGAGACTTCCGGTAGGCTACTTAAAAACGGAAAGAAAAGAGCCATCTCCATTCCGAAGTTAGGCTCCCCACAACAAGCCATTGATACGATGAGGCTAACTGAATGCAAGGACAAATCAGCCGGGAGAGCCTCGCTGCGCCATCTCACATACTCTTATTACTCGATACGCCAGGAGAAGAGAAGAAGTATTTGAAGAAAAAGGTCATCAGTATCGTATTAAGAAGCATCTACACGAGGGCAAAAGGACTCACCTTCCAACTTTGGCAAGTAAAAGGAATGAACCTTGCGCCGTGCATGGGAGATAGAAGCAGACCACGGCGGAGGTTTTCTTCTTGCTTTCCTTCTCTCACATCCCGCGGGGTGGCCTCGACCTGCATCGCATATGCAAGGGAGGACGGGAAACCATGTGTCTTATACGAATGTACAAATGCATGAATACACGAATGCACGAATGTACGAAAGCTGGAAGATTGTCGAGATAAAAACAACAACTTACTTACATGCGCCAGGCTTCTGAGATCTGAGGAGTCGTACTTCGCGGAGGATGTTATTTTGAGACGAGGGATATACCGGTGTTTCTATCAAGCAGTAGCCTTCCACCATCCCGGGTGAGAGCGAGCAAGAAAATTAAGAATGAGAAAAGAAAAAAAGACTCAGACTCGGCGCACGATTTGGTGCGATGTCTCTCCCATCCTGATATGACGATACATTATTGATATATCAGCCCCAGATCATACTAAGTATGAGTGCAAGCTACACCATTGCCTACGTCTTTTTGCTACCCACCCTTTTCTCCTCCCCCAATCTTCTCTCTCTGCTTTTGGTCGTTCAAAACCCTCCGTCCTGCCGCCAAGAACTGCTCCTCGAGCTCCACATCCAGGAGCTTTTCTCCTGATGCAGGTTTGAATAGTGTCTGGGAGAGCAGACAAAGAGGCAGAATGGAAAGCAGGAGCTCCTGTCGGCTAAAATAGCAGGGCGCGACCTTTCCATGATCGACAGCACACAAAAAGAGGCGAAAGGAAATATCAATAAGGAAAAAAAAGAAAGAAGGACAGTTGTTTTGGTGAAACGAAACAGAACAAGTGGTTCTCTGTCTTCTCAGGCTGATTCGTACGCCCGAGGTTAGGTCCAGCTCATACTCGGACAAGAGGAATCGTTTCCCTACGTAGCCACACATAAATGATATCAAGACGCTGAGAGACTGACGTGGAGGCTTCCAACAGGCCATGTGCCTTCTTATTTGCCTTCGTTCCCCAGTCCGCCCGGTCCGGGAGAGGGTGGGAAGAAGGAGCATTGAGAGGGAAGTCGGCGGTTTCTGCAGCTGCGCGATACACAAACGCAAAGCATTTCGCGGGGCAAGCATGCAAGCGCACCTACATCCCGCTGATCCGATGGAAGCTCTGCCTAGCTCCCGCGTTACAGCCGCCGGGCAAAGTGTGGAGGGGGAAGACACTGAGAAGGGGGGGGATGGGAGGCAGACCTGCAGTGGAACGAATCATGAAGGAGGTAAAAGCACACCAGGTCGGATATGGCACGTACATATGAGCTGCGCAGGGTG